GACCGGCGGAAGCGTCCAAGTATCGGCTGCACGTGGAGGAAGTAGGCAAGATCACGAGTCTTCTTCTCGGTTTGAGTGGCAGATTAGCTCGAGCTGAGAACGCTCTCTACGGAATGCCGGCAGAACACGCGGAAAGGGTGGGTATTATTCAATTTTGAACGCACGAATATTAATTTTGAAAACCTGTGGAAACACGCGCGTACGAGGCAAGATCATTCGTGTTCGATCAAGCGGAGTGACGGTAATTTGTGATTCGAGTGAGAATCGTTTCGAATAATAAATTGGAAAAACGGAATAAAATAAATATATGCTTTTAATTGATAAATTAATTAATCAGTATTCTTACATCGACTCGATACGATAATATAAACCGAATTATAATCGTTAAACAAGAAGAACGAAAAATACAAATATAATTATTTGCGCGAGTGACAGAAATTATTCGTTTCGATTCGTTGGAGAGATCTTGCGTAATATATTTAGATTTTACGTTAATACGTTGTACAATTAACGTATTAAAATTATAAACAAAATTTTTTTTACGTCAAAGAATGGATAGAGGTATATTCAAAATTGTATTTATTTTTAATAAAATAATCTGAATTCTCAACACTCAAATTTCTTTCTTTTTAGAATACTTTTTTCTTTTTTTTTAAAAACGTGGTTTTAAAAATATCTTGTTTTTGATTTTAATAAGCATCGTTCAATATATTATTTCCAACGTACGTTTCTACTCTATTTCATATTCGATTCGCAGTCTAAGCTCTATTTTCGATATACATTCATGTATCTTAATTAATCATGTGAATTGAAAAAATTCAAATTATCTTTTTAACAATCTTATTTTTTTTTTATTCGCAGAAAATACTCGAGAGCAAGAGGGATAAGTTGATGGATCAACTCGAAGAAGCGAAGATTCTGAAGAGTAATATCGACAAGCGTAGCGTGAACGTGTCGACGATCCTGTCCAAGTACCTGAACGAGGAAGAATTCGCGGATTATCAACACTTTATCAACATGAAGGCGAAACTGATCGTGGACGGCCGGGAGATTCAAGACAAGGTGAAGCTCGGGGAGGAGCAACTAGCCGCGCTGAGGGAAGCGATCGATTAGTCCAGTAAAGCGACGCATGATTACCATCCGTGTGCTTCTTCAAGCATAATAATGTATTCTTTTATATATATAGGATGTAGGAAAGAACACGCGAAAAGATTCAAGATATTTCGCAACGATTTGTTTTGGAAACGATCTTATTATTCGTGTGTGCGTTCGAGTCAATGAATCGAACGTGATAATCTTAGAAAATAGGTGTATCGATAACTTGAAATTGTATTTTCT